GAAGGGGAAAGGGTCAAGATCCCCTGAGCAAATTGGGAGCATGGCAGGAGGGGAGAGGGACCTAGCAGAAAGAGAAAGGGAGAAGAGGAGGTGTGAGGAGGACATGAGGGAGCAAGAAGGTTGAGTCGGGGGAAGAATGGAAGAGAGCAAGATAAGAGATGCCATAATAGAGGGAGCCATTATAGGTTTAAAGAGAAATCTGGCACTAGGGAAATGTCTAGAGATCTACAAGGATGACACCAACTAACAATCTAAACAAAAGTGAAGAGGCTACCTTAAATGTCCTCCCCTGCTAATAAGATTGATGACTACCTTATATACCATCCTAGAGCCTTCATCCAGTAGCTGATGGAAGCAGAAGGAGACACCCACAGCTAAACACTGAACTGAACTCCTGGAATCCTGTTGCAAAGGGGTCAAGACCAGGCTGGTGAAACCCACAGAAACAGTTGACCTAAGCAAGGGGGAGCTCATGGACCCCAGGCTGATAGCTGGGAAACCAGCATAGGACCGATCCAGATTCCCTGAACATGGGTGTCAGTGAGGAGGCCTCAGCAATCTATGGGATCTCTGGTAGTAGATCAGTATTCATTCCTAGTGTACGAATAGACTTTGAAAGCCCATTCCACATAGAGGGATACTCTCTCAGCCTAGACACATGGGGAAAGGTCTAGTTCCTGCTCCAAATGATATTACAGACTTTGAAGATCTCCCATGGAAGGCCTCACCCTCCCTGGGGAGCAGAAAGGGTATGGGATAGGGGTTTTAGTGGGGGGCGGGGCAAAGGGGAGGAAAGGAGAGAGGGGGAACTGGGATTGACATGTAAAACAAGCTTGTTTCTAATTTAAATAAAAAATAGAAAAAAATAAAATGTCAGAAACTATAAAAATAAAAAAATAAATTAAAATAAAAAGATAGAGACCCGGGTGAAACTAACTTAAGCTTGTAAGAAAGTGTGTCAGTTTGCGGAACTGGAAGCTTTACTACAGACCAAGCTCGGCATTGGTGACCTGTTGGTCCTGATTCTTCCTCCTGCATCCCTGCCTCCAAGCTGCTTTCATCTTGAAACTGTTTTATCCTCCTTATCTAGTCCCCAGCTGCACCTCCTGTATGCCATTCTTCCTACCCAATTACTCACCTGGTGCCCCATGAGATGGTTCCGTTATTTGTCTCCGATTTTGCAGATGAGGGGTCTGGTGCACTGAGGTTAATTCTTAGCCAAGGCCCAAAGGCTATGCTGTAGACAGCACACTGCTTAGGGCAGCTTTTCAATTTTGACATCGGGGACCATAAAGTTCTGTCCTGAGCCTTTCCATCCATCTCTGGTGTAACAGCTGGCCATTGGGCTTGTTTAGAAAGGCCATCTCCCTATATCTGGCAATCAGGGAACCTATGAAGGCTTTTAGCCGCTACCACAAGACAATTTCAAGGAAGCTATGCTTTACAGTGGCACCCTACAGGCCCTGCCTACAGACCCCACCCTATAGACTCCGCCCTATAGTCCCTGCCCTGCTCAGGGCCCTCCTCCCTGGTCTCACTATCAGGCCAGCTACTTTCGAGTAGTTCTGTGCAAAGCATTCCTGTGAAGGCACCTACTACATGACTCTTACGTCAAGCTTCACTCGTTCTTTTCAATGATCCAACAAAAGCATGTCAGCTCCAACCCTTGAAACTGGGAATGTAGACTCTCAGCTGGTGACTTTACAGTATCTATGGGTCTGTGCAGGACCTACCTCTGTTCTGGCAGCTCACACTGTAGACCCCCTACTGTAATCATGGGTTCCACGCTTCCCAGGAGTCACTGAGGGAATTCAGTTCCTATGAATCTTCAGGCAGAAGCACTCTGAGAAATCAAATAGTGGCCAAATGGGAGAGAGGAAATGCTAGCTGCATTCTGAAGACCTCCCAAAACCTCTAGTCAGAGCATGCAGACCCCTGAGAGGGTCAGATATGTGTTGCCCACCTCCATAGCCCATAGTCAGCAAGGAGCCAACAGCAAAGTCAGTTTCTCAGGATATTTTGGATGGGTTAGTTAGTTAGTTAGTTAGTTAGTTAACTTGCTCTTTTAGCTGCCAATTCTAAATTGTGATAATTTACATTGTATCATAAATCATGTGACATCCTATAATCAGACAGCATCAAAGATCTTGATGGAAGATCGCTGTACAGGCAAGAGATGGATGCAGCAAAAAGAAAACAGAACTGAACTATTAGTCAAGGTGCCTTATGGGTCTGCTCCTAACTGCCCTGTTCAAGCACAGAAGGGAAAATTGGGCTAGGAAGAAGCAGACTGAGAGTGGCAATTAGAGCTAGCCCAATTAGGCTCCCCAAAGGCAATCTAGGTATAGTCTGACCTGTGACCCAAGACCAAAAGCAATGCTAGTCTGTAAACATTTAGTGAGTAAGCAAGGCAGGCACCTAAAAGGCAGACTCCTGTGCTAATGGGCTTTCAGAATACCCGTTTATTTTCAGGTAAAACTTGGTAGTGTAAACTGTGCACTGTCCTCAAGTCCTAAAGAGAGACTGCTTGGGAACTGGCCCACATCTATAAGGATGTGTTTATGGCCTTTGTTCAAGGAAAGCATCACTCTGGAAATGATCTCATCCTGTCCATGCCTGCTGCTGGTCATCTTTTCCCACTCTACTGCTCCTTGGCTGTGAGAGATGTGAGTCCATGGCCTTTGGTTACAACTGGAGCCAAGAAAATTCTGCAGAAGCTTAAAGTGAAGAAGAGACGCTTCAAAAGGCAGAGCCCTATGATAGGAACAAATAAACACAGTTTCATTGTTAGACTGACCTGGAAAAGGCCAATGCCCTTTTTCTTGTCTCAGTCTGGGTCTATTTTGAAAAGAGATTTGTCACATCCTTGGGTAAGGTCCCCATTCTCCTGAGTTTCACTGCTCTTTCTCAGCAGTGTCTCTCACTTGCAAAGCAGGGGTCCTGGAAAGCTGTTAACGTGTAGGTGATTTGAGAGATCAGTTGCCTTGAGATGAAAGGCATGTGTGGGCTGTGACCATTCCCTGCAGCTTGTGGATGTTTAGGACTCTTGTCATCACTCTCAGGAAGTCTGAATCACTTCCTATAAATGTTTTTGCATAGACTCACCTTCATTGCTGCAGCTGTGAGGTATTTCTACTTCTAGTGTAGATTTTGATGCATGTGTGGTACTGGGAATTGAAGGTGGTGCCCCCATGAGCTGGCAAGTATTATCTCACTGAGCTGAATCCTTAGCTCCTCATTTTCTGCTTTGAGGCAAGGCTCAAAGCTTTGAGCTTCCTACTTCAGTCCCCAGGTACCAGGGATTACAGGCATGCACCATCAGGCATGGACCATAATTTCTGATTATTAGTGTGGATACCTATAGACGTTTGTCATAATGAAATTTCACTGATGAAATTTCAGTAAAATTCCATTTGTAAATTTCATTAAAAACCTGGGAAACTTTTATACACTGGAGTCTTAGCATGTTTCTGGCTGTGAAAGTTTTATCTGTCAAACTGACACAATCTAGAATGATCTGGAAAGGCCTTAATGAAGGGAGGTCTATGTAAGTTTGACCTGTAGATAGGAATGTAGAGAAATATCTTGGTTATAGTAACTGAAGTGGGAAGATCCACTCACTATAGGGAGTTGATTGCAAGCATGCATGCATTTGTTTTCCCCCCTTTGACTGCGGATGTAACCAGCTGCTTCACTTCCTGCCAAATTGACAACCTCCCCACAACCTGGAATTTGAACCTTTCTCCACTAAGTTGCTTTCATCAGAGTGCTGTAACAGCAATGGCAATATTACTAAGGCATCTTTGGAATGCTGAAGTTCTATTACTGTTCCCCACAGGTGTTTACAGTGCTGAAGGATAGACAGAATGGGGTCTGGGAGCTGAGGGGAATGGTAGCTCCACTTGACACAGAGGCTGAGGTAGCTTCAGCCTTTCCTGCCAGAGCAGCTAACTCAGTGCAGAGTATGACAGCTCCTGCTGCTCACTGCCTGGCTCCCTTCAACAACCGGCTTACAGTACAAGGAAGCATTCATGATAAGATGCTATTGGTAAGGACCAGTAACCTTTTTTTTTTTTTTTCCGAGGCATGGTCTCACTGTAAGTCTTGGCTGCCTGGAATTCACTATGTAGACTAGCCTCAAAGTCACAGATTTGTCTGCCTCTGCCTTCCAGGAACTAAGATGGATTGCATACTGTCAGGGCCCAAAAATATCAATTATGGTATTTCAGATGCAGGCCTCAAACTCTATCCCAGGAGCTCAAATCTCACATTGTCTTTTAGATGTCAACTGGTTTCCACTTGGCCTCAGTGGAGATTGTCTCCTAATTTGCATAACAACAGACCTAGGCCCTAGGTGGGCCCACACCTATTCTGAGGGCTTATATATGAGCCTAGGGACTGGTAAGAGGCTGATGAGGACCTGCAGTTTTAGGGGTACCTCTAGGATTAAAGGAAATATTAATTTCAGCTTTAAACATGATAATAGATGTCTTTTGTGATCACCCCCACTGTTGGAAAGCTATTTAAAAGGATGCTTGAACGAACCATAGACTCCAGTCTCCAGCATGGACTGAGAGTCCTCCTGAGATGACAAGATGCCTCTGTCTGGTCTTTATTGGGGTAGCTAGGAGTTTCCTGATCCACACTCTCCCTGTCAGGGATGGACCGGGTGCTGTTCAGCTGACTCCAAATGCAGCCCCAAAGACATCAGTCCGGAATAGATGGATTCCATTGCTTGGGACTGATACAGGCTGAATCCCGGCAGCACACCAAGTATGATTTTCTGCTGCTCTGGGTTTCCTTATTCTTTCTCTAAAGCTCCGTGTGCCTGGTTGTCTACCATGTTGTTGGTCTCCATGATGTCTTAATCAACAGACTTGCTTTTCATCTTTTCTTTTTCTTCTCCATTTCCCTCCTCTGAACATCTGCTTGCCTGGGGTTTTTTCTTTTAAACTCTGATAAAACTGTTCTCAAGGTTTTTTTGTTGTTGTTTTGTTTTGTTTTGTATGTTTGTGAGAGAGAGAGAGGGGGTGGGAGAGAGAGAGAGAGAGAGAGAGAGAGAGAGAGAGAGAGAGAGAGAGAGAGAGAATGAGAGAGAGAGAATATCATTCAACACAGTTCAGTGTTCCTCCTTTATGCCTAGGTGCAGTTTCTCTAACTCTGGCTGTTAGCAAAGCCTGAAAGGAACAATTAGGAAATTAGATATCTAATTCTCCCTGTAGAAATATGTGTTCCTCATTATTGTTGTTTACTCCTTGTTAAGAGGGCTGGACATTATTATCAGAGCACAGTGGCCATGATGTCAACATGAGGGGGAAGCTCAGTGTCACAGAGATTTGGCCTCAGGTCAAGCTCTGTAGGAAGGGCTATTCATTTCTCTTCATTCATGAGACAATGCCACCTGTACCAAAATCTGTACATTTTGTTGTGTTTTCACCACAGTTCTGTGGGTGTTTTCTTTCTGTAAGAAGCATGAGACACTCTGAAACTGATTTTACTTGCTTTCTTCATTTCATACATCTGTAATAAATACTATGTCTTGCCTTATGCTACTTCCCAGGACCCAGAAAAGCTTCGCGAGGATTCCATTTTTTTTTTTTTTTTGAAAAACAGACCAGAATGTATATTTTTCCAGAGCAATAATACAGGGATTGTTTCAAGTCTGCTTTCATCTTATAGCATCTGCTTTATAAAGAAGACATTCAGATAGACTTGGGTTAGACAATTTATCTAAAAACATTGTGGCTTCTTAGAAAGGGAAGATAATAGCATCAGCTTTGGTGAAATTTATTTCGATATTATTTTCAGAAAAAGACAAATAGCCTGGATTACAGTAACAATAATTAATAATAATAATAGCAGCCAGAGGAATTAAATGAACAACCTATGCTCTTTGAACCAATTTCAGGAATACACTCTGTGCAGGCTATGAGAGTGGCCACTGTGCTGTCACTGAGAGTCCAGTGGCCCAAGGAGGTTAAACCTCTTCTAAAGGTGAGTCTGTTGCTATAAGTCTGAGAATCATTGCTGTCTGAAGTGGGGAGGAGAATCAGAAGCAGTGCATTTTCTCAGCCACTCAGTGGAAACTTCCCAAAGCATCTAGAAGGACTGGCACTTTGAAGAACAATGTTAAAAATTTAACAAAGCCTTCATGAAATGATTCAAAGCAGGAACTAGAACTAAAGTTGAAAGGTATAGCCACTTCATAATTCTATCAGCTATTAATGGTACTTAGGAAAATGTAGGGACTTTCAGGAATTTCATAATTTTAGTATTTTAAGTATAAAACAGCCATGATCAAAAATGTAACTCAAATTCTTAGTAAAAGAAATATAAAACTTCATTTTAAACATGTTTTTTTCTGGGCATTATAACGTAACTGTTCCACAGAGATAAATGCATCCAAATAATTTGTCCACAATTGAATATTAAATATTCATGTTGCTAGTTACTAAAATTTAAAAACTGGTTTCATTCAAAAGTACCTCGAATTTTTACTAGTGAGAAAAATATTCTTTGATAATTTAGTTTAAGAACATAGCAAAATCCTCACAGAATCAAGTTTTAGCTGTAGGGTATTTGTTTTCCTAGGGTGGAGCTTGCTGGGCTCAGAGCTAGGAGGCTGATGGAAGGAGCCTTAGGACTCTGTCGCCATCAAGTGGAGGATCCATTCAGTAAGTGTTAGAGGGGGCCAGCTTGAATGGCACACAGCCTGTCAGGCTTCTGGAGGCCTTCTCACCTGAGCCAGGATGCCCTGCCCAGGTTCCACAGGACAGGAGTCTGCAAGGGCTCTCTGTGGGTGTGGGCATGTTTCTGGGTAGTGTCTACCAGAGCTTAAGGATATAGTGGCAAGCATGCATCAGGAGCCAGCCAGTAACTACATGGTCAAAACTGTAAATTCTGCAAGCACAAATGCACTGAAGGTGTTCTGACGTCAGCAATACTAATGCCACATACTTCTATAAACATGTGTGCTACACGTTTGTTTACTGCATGTGTGTATGCATGCGTGTTTGGAAAACAAGGACAACTTTCAGGAGTTGTTTCTCTCTGTCCACACTGTGAGTCTCAGGGATCGAACTCAGGTTTTCAATCTTCGAGACAAGTGCCTCTGTCCACTGAGCCATCTCTCTGACCCTATATATACAGTCATATATATTTTAATAAAAGTAAACTCCTGGATGCATCCCAGGATTGACTTTGGGCCTGTCACACAGCCCTTGCCATCCAGCTGTCATCTTCACCCAGAATTTACCTCTTAGTCATTTATGACTTTTCTCTTAAGAGTTGTGGTTTTGTGGTTTTATTTTTTCAACATGAAAAGGAGATCTATAAATTGTCTATAGTGAAGTCAATGCTCTCTGCTTGCCATATGACTCACTTTTCAAAACAGTCATGTTAAGGCACCGGAGGAAAATAAAATTCATGATGTGGAATGTTTACTAAAATCAGAAGAGTGACTCCTTGAGACTGTGGATCTGCTGAGATCACTGTGTCCCCTCACACTATGACTGAAACTAAAAATCCAGATAAACAGCAGGCTCCTCCTTTATTTAAAATTCTAAAATGTCAGAACAAAATTATGTGCAAGTAATAGGAAGCTGTGGAATTTTCCCAACAACAGGCATAATTCTCCCCCTACTGTCTTTGTGAGAAAAATCTGATATTGGTTTCACAGGGTAGACCTGATCTATCCCAGAAATGACTGGAGGAGGCCAGTTGACAGCCCCATGTGACAATAAATGGGTGTGTGGCACCTGGTGTGCCCTTCACGGTCACAGGCAAGCCAGACATGAGGAGATCTGGATGGGTCCTGTCTCTGTTAGAACAAAGGGATTTCCTGTGAGGCCTTCAGCACACGTCTCAGCTGCTGACTGCTTTGAGAAAAAGATTAAATTTCAACAAAATTTGATTACATTTAGTCAAATAAACTTTTGGGAGAAGACTATGAATCTTGTCCACACAAATCTTGGTGAGATTTCTGCCCTGC